CTTAGAAAAAGCTTGATCAGCTTGCGTAGGAATACCGGTGCCCAGATCTGAAATAGCTGACAAATGTCTTACAAACATAAAGGCATTTGAACTCTTCTTAACTACCAAAAAGCCATAATTAAGTAAAAACCCACGCAACCGTTTTCATCGGAGAAAACATTCGAATGTTACAAAAACAATGATTAAGATTGCATTTTTTCAAATTTCCATTATAGTTTTATATTGTATTGTTTTCTGTAAATACTTTTCAATGAGAAAAGTTTAAAGACGTTCAAAATTTTATATCTTTATTATAATCTTGGTCACTGAAATATTTATGATATTTATGTTATGATAAATCATTAGATAAAAATTTAAGTGCACAAATGTTAGCGTAAAAAATACATATTTTTTGAAGTGATATGATAAGAATAAGCTGCAATTCTTGTTTTAGAAGGGTTAAATCCGTAAGTGTTCCGTTAAAAAAATATCTTTGCTGCAAATTTATGACTTCAGGAATTAAAAATCAATACTGTTCTTATGAATATGATTTAGAAACTAAAAGTATGCAAGGAGCAATGACACCATACACGGAAGTATCATTGTGAGAGATCAGGAATTATGCTGAGAATATAACTTAAGCTTTCAAATTGCTAAGAGGAAAAGATACGGTTGTTCTACGTACAAAGTAACCCCACCCACCTAACATTATATTTTTTATTCTCTTTAAGCCTAAGATTATATTAGATATTAAATTTGAATTAAATTGGCTCATTCATTTCAGAAAGAAGGTGGAGATATTCAAAAGCTTACCTAAGAAACACGATGACAGACGTTAATAGATAGCAAAAGGTCACCTTAGATTTGGAAGACCTTATATATCATTACCCAGAACATACAATAAAGTCAAAAATATCCCTGAATTATTAATCCTTTACTTTTATAATCCATTCGACTTCCAATAGCCAAAAAGCTCAGTGGAGCCAGATGCCAACCGTCGTATTTTCTCTTTACAGATGTATTTTATCAGACTCAAGAGCAACCTGTTTTAAAAATGCAAATATTAAAATCATGCATATAACAAATAAAGTGTTGTTTTACATGACCGAGAGATAAGCAAGGCGATAGTTATATGAGTCAAATTTAAATTGTCAATAGAAGGCATTAGATTAGATGAAGTACACGTATAAGTGCATGTAAAATTGAATATTATTTGAATGCTTAAATTAAAATGTCCTCGAATTAAAATAAATAGTTGGTGCTTTATTTAGGTTTATTCACACACGCACACACAAACAATTAAAAAAATGGGTTTAAGTCGTCAAAAACTTAATTCAAGAAAAAAGACTGTGTTAATATTATTGGTTTTGTCATTATAAAAACATGGTTCAAAGGCATATACATTAAACCGTAAAGACATACAAAACTAACACTCAGTAATCAACAAGATTAATTATGATGCCCCCTTTGAAGAAGGGAGGGAATATTGATTTGTTGCTGTCTGTCTGTCGATCAATTTTCTCGGTCCACCATCAGTTTCCGTTCATTATCTTTCCTTCGCACCCTCTGAAATGAAATTTGGAATGCAGATATCATAAGAATATCTTTGTCAAATTCTGTTTGAGTTACGCCCATTGGACTTTAAAAAAATTCCATTTTTGCAGTTTCCATTCATTTTCTTTGCAGAGGTTGCACATATTGAAATAAAATTTGGTATACAGATTTATCAACTGTATAAAAATATCTAGGTCAAGTTCTGTTTTGGGTACGATCGAGCCATTTTTGACATAGTTATGTCCCTTGGACTTAGAAAATTTCCAATTAATTCTTGTTATTAATTTTTTTTGTTCGATTCCGTCAAATTTGATAAACTGTAGCTTTCTGTACGTCCATCTTAATTTATTTTAATCAAATGTCAACAAACAGATTAATTAAAGCTGAACACTACTCGTAAATAGGCATAGTCCGCCATATTTCCCATTCTTCAACGCTCACCCCACAACCCGTATATAAGGAGCAGATTGCTAATCAGTTCAATATATTTCACTGTAGAGATCCGACGAATGTAGACGTGTATCTTACACACCGCGTGCTACTCAATCTCGATCAAATTATCAAATTTTACGTATTTTGTCCAAAACAGGACAAAAGTATCATGAAAAATACAGGTCAATACATCATTTACAAACAGAAAATGCACATAAAAACATAAATAAAGGCAAAAAATCTAAGACCACGAAAGGAGTACTACATGTCTGCCACGAGTTTGAGTGTGCAATCGGGTGTAACGAAATCGGACGGTTTATATACCCGTCTGACAGTGCCTATTTTAGTATTTATGGGAACTGTTCAGCTTTAACGACCAAAACGTTTTTTTTCAAAAGCTATGATATTGCGGACATTTGCTTATATGGTCAATGGCAAAACTTTGAAGTTGAAATTACTACGAGGTATTGTTAGAGAAGTATAGATTTAGAACAGTACTCGACAATAACAACAACTGAGCAGTGTGGCCCTAGAACTTTTTAGTGCCAACACTACCCTAACAAAAACTACTATTGTTAACTATACTTTACTATAGTTAACTATAGTGAACACTTTGACACTATGAAAACTTTGATTTACTATAGTGAACACTTTGACACTTTGATTTACTATAGTGATAACTATGAAAACTTTGATTTACTATGGAAAAACTTTGATTACTTTGATTAACTATAGTGATAACTATGATACCATACTGATCACTATGAAAACTTTGACTTCTTATAGTAATCACTTTGACACTTTGATTTTCTATAGTTTAACAAAAAAATACAATAGTTAACTATAGTTTACTATTTTTTTGTTAGGGTAACTAGGACAGGGGACATCGGTTTAGTCTCAATCGAAGGACCAGTCTACAAATCTCGCAATGGATTTACACCCGAAAGGATCAACTCTCAACTCTGCGATTCTAGGGCAAATACTCTAGCCACTGCGCCAAGAAAGTGACTACGAGCTGATTTTTATCCCCTCGCAATGGAGTTGGAGAGGACACAGTAATGCAATTGTGTGTTGGGTTTGTGAGTTAATTCTATGCGTAACGGAAATAAGGTAATTTGCATTGGATGGATGTCGAATGCTTCACTGATTAATCAATATGCTCTTTGTAGTGGGGTGCACTGACATGCAGTGTCCTTTTGAGAATGGATTGTTCTGCACATTAACGACTGACATACAGAGATAAATGATACCACAGGGACAGTCTAAAACAAAGCCTAATTTACCAGAACCGCAACAGCTTTCAGTCCCTCTCTACATCCCTATGCTACCAGGTATTACTTCAAATTATACAATACATTCAACCGATCAGCAAATCAGTTGCACAAAAAGCATGATACAAGATAGAATTTAATTTCTTAGGTACATGTAGATTTGTGATACACACAATAAGATATTCTAGAAGTGTCGAAAGGTAAAAAAGAACTTATCGCTTAATATTTTGTAAGGATTTTTCAATAATAAATATTATATGCTAGATTTTTTACTAGGATAAGGTAATATATATTTATATGATAACATTTGTTAAAATTAAATCAAAAATTGATGAAACTAGTTAGAGTTCAGAACAATTTAATTGCAAATAGGTCAGCTTAATTATTCCAATGCTCAGTGGGATGCTCACTGACATTTAATTTTCTTAGCAATTTTAAGTCATGGTATATGTGAAAAGTAATATATAATAAGCACATACTTTGAAAACAAAACTTTATATAATTCATGACACGTGTGACATGCCTTTATTAGAACGATCTGTTTCAATTAACCAAGTATTGGAAAGAATATGGGATCAAAGATGCATTTTAAGCAGGCACAAAATTACATTTACTACACAATGGATTTTGAATTTAATAAAAGACATCTGAGGAATTGAGAAAAAGAATTATTTCAGCCAAATCTCTCATCTTTGTCAAGGCGAATTATGAAAAATATTCTTCCCACAGTCAAAAGTGCCGTAGTAAACTTGAAACTGCTGAAAGGTTATTTTTAAAGAATATTTTCCTAAGATGCTATTCACGATAGCCTACTGTGAATTACCTAAACTGCGTCAGAAAGCAATTCTACATAAGAAAACATGCAGCATCCATTATTAAGATATAAAGTGAAATGTAATGTATGGTGAGGTTAAATACGTATTACTGCCTTTGTTTTTCATCAAGAAGAGTGTAATGATATTTTGTTGCCTACTTTTCAAATGATCACAGTGCAAGTTGTTCAACTATACTTTACTGATATCTTCCCCAGCGTGGTGCAGTGGTTAAATCATTTGCTCTAGAGTCGCAGAGTAAGGATTTGGTCCATGCGTCTTGGGTTTGAAACCCCCTGTGGGACTTGCAAATGGGTATTTTAGGATGAGACTGTTAGTGACGAGTTGCAGCCCCTGGTATAGCGTATCAATATGGATGAAAATACTTTTCATAGGGACGATAAACAACAAACGAACAAACATATTTATATCATCTATCCCAAAGTTCTTTTAACTGATTGTACCATATCTAAAATAATTTTGTTACAAAGTGTAGGTGTCCATTTATCATTTGTGTAATCAATGTATGGAAAATTATGGATTAAAAATAAAGATATTTTTTTCTAGATTTAAGTTACTTGATTTCTCGATATTGAAAGTGATATCTAAAAAGAATCCTTTATTTTATTACAGTTGAACGTGGGTTTTTATTAATTATCTACTCGATTTACTGAATTTATTTTCTATCTAATTTTATCTCGTATCTAAACTAGGAGTGGTATCTCCACTTCCCAAGAGAAGTCAATCGACTGCATTTGAAAGAGAATGAAAAGAACTCTCCCCAATGAATATTAATTATACAGATATCGACGGTTTACATCGATTTCAATTGTATTTTTTCACTGACCGAACAATTGAAAACAAAAGTCCAATTTTTATTACATATTTATAGATATCGTCTTGGAAAAAACAAAAACGAATCTCATTGATGAATTCCAATTTGTGTGGCATGACGTTTGTCAATTTTGTATTTAAAATAATTCTTTTTAACAACAGATTACAGCATAATATCCGTTGAGGTAAGGGAATGTGAATGTGAGATAACGTGAGCAATTTATATTAAATGATATTGAAATGCTCACTTTATCTTAGAAGTATATAAGGATATATTTTTGTGAAAAAGAAATCAATCCGACTAGCAACAAATTTTTACTACAAGTATAAAGAGAATTTAAAATCAAATGCTCATGTATATTGCTTGATGAACCTTAAGCTATCTGGAATCATATATAAGAACGCTATTCAAAATTATTAATTGGCGATATACAGGCATTTATCATTCTTATGTAATTCTAACTAAAGCATTCTTTTTAATCTTTTCACACTGAAAGGAGATCCGAAGTATAGATTTCTATAAAGTGGAGTACTTGTGTTATCTTCCAATATTGGTACCCTTATTCAAAGAGAAGATATACGAGATTTATAAACTTTCAAAGATATTTGCCAAATCGGGAATTGAAGCGTCTTCCAGATATGACTTTACACTTTACAGAAATTTTAACAGTTTTTTGTGGAATTCTTCTTATGTGCAATGCCAGGAAATTATCGCCCTTAGAGATAGCCATTAGAAGGTAAGAATATTTCTTTACTGGTGACAATCTCATATATGTTATTAATTTTCCCATGTTGAAGTAGTTCATTTAGGATATGCATAAATATACATTTACGCAAATTTGATATTTTTATATTTATGATATACATGTAGTAGAAATTAAGTTAGCATGTTAAAGAACATTGATTGTCAGTGTACGTATGTATTTAAGAATAAACTACTTACATGTAATTAAATTCAAGTGTTACTTATTTTCTCTTTACAATAATTTAACTTGTCACTGGAACAGAATATCTGTGTCCAAAAGAATTGCAATACATAGTACATAAGCCAGGCTGGACATACACAATTTAGCAGGACACGCCTTTTCAAAGTCTATACAAGGTAAAATTTTGTTTTGTGCGAAGCGCCAGAGGAAGTTGCATGGTAATGCAAGTTACTTCCAAAGATTCTCCATGTGAGGCTGTATATTTATAAATCATTACATAATTGATGACAGCAATTAAAAATGAGAAATAATGACAGGTCCCTTTCCAAAGAAGGGACACTTTTTGTTATTTCAAATCGAGTAAATCTTTCGATTATCTGCCGTGACAATGTACACTAGTTAAACTCCAAGGTTTCTGTCAAAGCAGGACGCTTGGGAGAAAATAATCCTCTGATCGAACTACGGTTGGAGGCCCGAGTATTTATGTGTTTTGAACTATGATGTGAAAAGTAATTTCCTGGAAAATGTGGGATTATTTAACAAATGAAACTAAAGAGATTTCTAAGATACTATGAAATTAAAAGCAAATGAAGTTTATATATCCCAGAAATTTGAATTTTGCAATATTTTAGACATTTTAGATATACTGTATATAGAAAAACACAAATTGCAAGTTCTGTCCTTTTAAATGCAAATGTTTGAATATTACGATTTTTGAAATTATTATGACTGCTTACGTGCTCTTTATGAACTTTTGCAAAACTGTAGTCTGTGATTTTAATTTTTTAATTTGTCTTTTTTTCATATTATAACACCTAAAATATGAGGAATTATAAAAATATTCTTCAACTGGTGTCCTTAATCAAATCCACTTAAGGAATACGATGGAACAGTGTAAGGAATGATTTTAGGTTTTGTGTGAGATATTGGTGTGTTAATCACTCAGACTTGCACGTATGAATGTTTTTCATGAAGCAGTAGGAATATGCCCACGTGCAAGTATTTGTAATTTACACACCAAAAATTAACACAATTCGAGACATTCCTTTCTTTCAATTACATGTTAAAACAACAAGAACAAGGGCAAAATTAAGCTGACATCAATTTTATGCTTCGAAATCAATTGTCAACAAAATTGGAATGTATTGGGAGTAGGAGTACTTTAAAATCTTGTACTTGAAAAAGAACACACTTGCTGTGGGCTTCAACTCGGCGATATATTAACGACGTATTGTCAGTTAACAATTGTTATTTTCATTCTTTTGTCGATAATATTTTCAGGTGAAGTTTAAATAAAAGATATCACATACCCGGTAGTCTGATATCTTTGTTTCATATTTGGATATTTTACTAGAAAAAGAAGTTTCCTACAAGCTTATTGACAAATAAATTAATGAAACAAGAAAATCGGTAGTCTAGCTCGGTTAAACACATCATTTCATAAGTTCTGTGGTCGAAACAGTGACCTTGTCAGCAGATACAATTTATCACAAAGTCAAATGCTGACTAATTTTTTAAATTTGAATTGTTAGGCCATTATTTACAACCTGAATTGTCGACGGATTTTTCTATTATTTCTCGATCATGACAATGAGCACACAGCGGTTGGGCGTGGACGGTTTGCAGGGGATGCTCACTTCTCCATATGACACCTGATTCCCACCTCTGATATTTCAGAGGTCCGTGTTTGCTATGTTCAAAAATGTGTATTGTTTAATGGACCTCTGAGCTTGAATACTGTCTGTTGTCTCTATATATTTCAGTCCAAAAGTTATTAAATCCAAGAAACACGAAATTATCATGACATATACTTCTTAAACATTTTTTGTTTCACAATCCTTAAAAAATTTGTTAGCGCAGCCTTTATGATATTAATTTTATATTACTCGAAATCCATACATGAAATTCAACACATATTCCGCTATATTTACAATATGTACAATTCTTGATAAGAAACATATTTGCGCCAAACGATGGACCTTTGTCTTTAGGATAAACTATATGCACATTAACAACCTTTTCTCGGCAAATCTACCTGTAAAAGCATATTTCTCTGACAGATTTTGTAAAAACATTTTTAAAAATCTGTTTATTACAAGTTGGTTATAACTTGAAGCACCCCGTCCCCCATCTCATAAAAGAGAAAAACCAAACCTTATTCAAAAGGTAAAATATTTTTTGAATCCTTGGGCTTAATATATTTTTTTAATGCTTGGGCTCTTAAGATTGTTACCATCAAATATCAATTTTCTATTTAATTCTAAACTATGCATGCGCAATATTTTATCGTTTTCAAATTTATATGCATTTCATTTTTCGATAATATTATTCAATTTGCCAAATCATAGAAATACTTAATTGTTTTATCTAGTATAAGTATTTATTATTTTCAACAAAAGTATTTTTCAGCAAATGTTTTTTCTTTTACTTTTTGTGGATCATGTTTAAGTTTCTTGACATTGATCAGTACTTGGTAAAACACCCACAATTTTCATACAATTTCAAATCCATTTTCGCGAGTTCTTTAATGCGTAAACAAATGAACCCCACCTAAAGAATTTATACATTGCCTGATCTTATTGAAACGTGTTAACAACTCCCAAGAAAATAAAAAAAAATCTTATAAGGAAAGTTCTCTATCACAAACTATTTATAGATCTAACAGACTTTGTTTGGGGGATGAAATTCAATTGTGTTTCGAGCTGTTGTTTGATTTCTCGGAATAAGCATTGATTTTTACAATGCAATTTATAAAGATGTGAACCTTTTTCTTTCTGCTACTAGTAAGTTACCTGATATGCAAACGTTTTCTTATACGATATAAAATTATATTGCAATTATTGGGGTAATTATTAAAAGACATTACATTGTATAATAAAAAAATTGTAATATTGGTCAATCCATGATTTTACTGCACACTACATATCTTTCTCTAAGATCGATATGAAGGGATAAGAACTAGACTTGACCTCATGAAAATGCTATAATTGTATGTGATAGATTTTTGTAAGAGTGATAAAAAACGAAATCGAATTCTACAAGTCATAGAAAATAAATGATATTTGCAATTCGGACGTATTGGTTTAAATAATTTTTCTAAAATCGGCATATATGCATATTAAACCTTTTCCTAGATTTTTTTTATCTAAAAAACCCAAAAATATAACAATCTACAAATATATAATGAAAATTAATACTACAACCACTTTTATACACTATAGCGAAAACTTAGATTTACTTATGAAAAAACTTTCATACTGTAGTTAACTAAGTAAACTTTAATAATAATAAACTTTTATTGTTAATTTTAGTTTGAGCCTGTTTACCGTTATTTTCCTCAGATTTTTTCCGGAAACTTGATCTATGGAAATATGCATGTTCAATATAGAAATTCTTGTGAAAATATACATGTATATAGAAAAGAAAACGATAATAGTTAAATGAAAACATTATATTCTTGACAATTAATATGGTTTACGCTTAAAAGATAAAGCTGTTATAAACGCATTGTTATTACTTGTAATGTAATTCCTGGACTGTTTGTTCTTTATAAGAACTTATACCTATGAGATTTCCCGATCAATACAAATGTATTCTTTAAACAGCTCTTCTTCTCGCAAAGAAAATAAACTATAGATTAAAGACTATTAAATAACAATAGCTTTATTTTTGCTGTTGCTTAATTTCATTGTTTGTGTTGCCTTTTGTAAGATTTAACACTGACTCTCCTATCATTTCATCATGCTTTTCGTAAAAATGATAGAAATGTGCATAAAAGCATTTATTTCAGGAAGAAATCAAACCAACAATGAAAAAAAAAATTGTGTTACATTTATCTAGGATTTTGCAATTACTTAATAAGGTTATGATATTTAAGGTTGACAATTTTAAGAACATTATCCTTTCACCTCATTTCATAAAACTTAAGTGACATAAGAACATATTAAAAATACTTTTCCTCAGGGGTAATATCTGCCACTTATCCAACGATAGACATGGATTTAGTTGAAAAAACTAACAAGTTTTCGTACTATGTATACAAATCTGTGATTTTTATTCAGAGTAATCAGTTCAAGTGAATTAAACATGTCATAATCATAATCATCTTGTATGATATTCCATTTCTTTGTTTTGTAGCAATCTTCCTGATGGCCAATCCTTCAAAATGTTTCTGGAGGTCTGTGAAGCCTGTGGAGAACTGTATGGATCTGCCGTAACACATTTCTGCCTAATAGAACGTTCTCTCGGCACATATTTAAACTGCCTATTGGCCGTGGGATTTAAACGCTAATAGGATTATTGGATTATTAACCTAAAAACCTGCTAGTCACAGGACTAATACTAAAATCATTTCTTTAAATGGAATTCAACATTTCTTTGCATGAAATCCAAATGTTTTACTTATTCTCGATTATATAACCTACTCGATTTCAAACATCTTTTCGAAATGTATGTTAAATATAATCATTTCATTTGTCAGACACTTTGTAACATCAAATAATCAAAACTGCTCACTATACATATATGCATTGTTATTTGTTTGTAACAATAAAATCACTATGAACAGAATGTATGTAGTTTTATAATTGAAGTTTTCTCTGTGAACAAAAACTCAGTACAAAAAGGGATAAAACAAAGAGAATATCTGCTTTAAGAGCTGAAGCATTGTCGCCAAATATAACTCCACCAGTTGCAGCATGATCACAACTACAATGACTGAAGATTTTAAATTCCGGAATTTCTGCACAGGTTTCGTTTCTTAAGTTCTCCATTACACATTTTTCTCCATTTCCAACAATACCGAGGTCGTTAGCACATACCTGGCATTCCACATCATTGCTTCCTAGTGGTACTGTCCAGTTTTGCAGTCCACATGTTTGTGAAACTTCGTTAACAAAATCATATGATGCATTGAATGAAATGCTCTCCAAAGGGTTCTTTTCATGCCATTCAAAATTCCCGTTTTCCAGCCGTCGAAGACCAACGACCGAAATTTCATCTTTCAGGACCTTCTCCTTTGTGCCGGAACATCCGTTCCTTGGATAAATGTTCTCTATGACGATTTCCGATTTCACTTCGATGTTATCATTTCTTAAGACACATTTCACTTCGTATAACGCATGGTAGGATTCTACTGTGCTGTCATTATGTGCAATGTAGCCATAGATGGTACCAAGAACCACCACTGGGGAAATACTCAGTCTTTGAACAGCAAGTGTCGGTTGCCACATTGTCACTTTGCAAGCCTTTTCTTTTTTGCTCGCAACTGCGACTTCAAGAACCACCAAGATAAATAAGATGCGGCCTAAGAACTTCATCCTTGTAATCATAAACTTATTCACTTTTTATAACTCAGTAGTCATTTTGTAACCGTTAATACACAGAAGCTAGAGAAATCAGGGTGTTTAATCATTTAGTTTTCATTTTAGGTTGTATTGAGGTCAAGTATTAAGGTAATCATATAAAGCAGATTAATCGAGCATTTAAATCTTTCAATTTTCTCCCGTTATAAGTGTTAAGTGAAAGTTTTAATTCAATAATTATTAAATCTAATACACTGTATATTATTTTACGTATACATGTATTGCTGGTTAATTTCATTATGCATGTGCACTAAGGTATGATAAAAACTACGGAAAGAATAAAAGTTCAAATATTAAAACTGCATGTAGGAACCGATCTTTTCGGGGAACGCAATTAGGTTCAATGTGCTCCTTTATTGGTAACAATTTTTTATATTCCTGTGTAGTAGAATTTATTAAAAAACAAATACTTTTTTATGAGAGAAAGATACACTTGCAGTGCCCTTCAAATCGACATTCAAATTTATCGATGACGTTTTATCAAATAACGATAAATATTTCTATTCTTATGCCGACTTGATATATCTCGGTCAATATGAAATACATGTAAAAGACACCACAGAATCTACCACATCTGTTTCATAGTTAGATATTTCACTGACTCTATTTTTATGAAATGAAATAAGGATGAAGGAACTGATAGGTTTCAATATTCTTAGAATGTTCATGTCTTAAATTAACGTAATATATTATTTTCATAATACATGTAATGCAAACCGAGACCAGGATTAGCAAGAACAAGAGGCTCATGGGCCACATCGCTCACCTGAGTAACTTGGGTGATGAAGTTCTTTACCAAATTTCCCCTCTTGCATGCCCCCTAGCCCCTCCCCTTTCATGTAAAACTTGGATTCCCTATCGTGGCCCCGCCCTACCCCCGGTATGATTTTAACAATTTAATATTTACACTACCCAAGGATGCTTCCACATAAGTTTCAGCTTTCCTGGTCTAGTGGTTCTTGAGAAGAAGACTTTTTAAAAATTTGTTCTATACATTTCTATGTAAAACTTGGATTCCCTATTGTGGCCCCGCCCTACCCCCGGGGGTCATGATTTTAACAATTTAATATCTACACTTCCCAAGAATGCTTCCACATAAATTTCAGCTTTCCTGGCCCAGTGGTTCTTGAGAAGAAGATTTTTTATGACCCCACCCTATTTTTGTCTTTTCTTGATTATCTCCCCTTGGAAGGGGACTTGGCCCTTCATTTTAACAATTTAAACTCCCCTTTACCTACGGATGCTTTATTTCAAGTTTGGGTAAAATTGGCCCATTGGTTCTTGAGAAGAAGTCGAAAATGTGAAAAGTTTACGGACGGAGAGAAGGACGGACGACGGACAAAATGTGATCAGAAAAACTCACTTGAGTCTTTGGCTCATGTGAGCTAAAAACTGGGAAAATCATACAATATCTTTTAGGTTTATAAAGGAGTAAATTATCGTTGTTTATTGTTCTGTTCATATCCACTTCATGCCACTCTTTGTATTTATATACACACTGAGTTGTCCACGGATTTTTCCGTAACTTTCCGAACATGAAAAGGAGCACACCGCGGGTGTGGCCGTTCGGGAAGAGATGTCTACTCCTTCATGGTACCTGATTCCATATCTGATGTTTTGGAGGTCCATCTTTGCTCCGCTCCTATTTTTCCTACATTGAAATTTAATGGACTTTTGAGCTTGAATACTGTTTGGTACATGTATCTCTACATATTTCATTAATCAGAGTAATCCATATATTGGCTTCAAAATTATCAGATAAATCATTCAGCATGTGACCTAACAACAACTTTAATTTGTACATTAGACTATTCAACATAAACGCAAAATGTTGACATTAAAAAAAATCTTTGATACCCGAGAAACATCACTTATTCAGGATGCTTCTATTATTGGATCACAGGATGCTTCTATTATTGGATCATTCGCAAACATTTTTGAGCATACCAGATTTATTGTGAAAGACAAAAATATAAACTGTGTATGATACATTGAAAAGGTAGTTGACAAAAGAGATGTTGCTCTCAACCCTTTTATCAACAATTTTTGTTATCATTGTCGTACTTATTTATATGATAGAAATGAATTTAGGGAATGTAATAAGATACGGATCATATGAACCTAGTTTTGAAAAGCAACGGTCTGATCAAATATTGTTAGGATAAAAATGATCTTACAGTCAAGTTGTCTTTCTAATAGTAAAATTGATGTATTCAACATAGATAGAATCCTTTATTAATTCTCATTGAATGAATTCTTTTGTCTAATTGTCTTTTACAGATTATATATATAAGGATCAACAGCACACTTTTCAAAACTTTGATTTTGAATGCTTTTTCCAAAGAACACTAAATCTTTTGAAACTGATTACTTCTATTCATGGGAAGACGGAAATCTTGTGGGAGAAATTATAGTTTTTGGCAGAACATTCTTTGACTGTTCGTTAACTTAAACTATTTTAATTCTACATTATGCAAGAAAGTATATTAAAGTTTAAAAAGGATTGGCTAAGTGGTGAATAAAGCAACAATAAAAATAAATTTGTAATTTTTGTATATATATCGTGATTTTAGGTTTGCTTTAGCTAGGATTATTTGAATTGTTATAAACATTACCTACTAGAGATGACTATTGTTTCGGTGAGGATTAAATCCAGTAGGATTAAATAACCATCCTTTTTTTCTTTCTGCACAAGAACCTAGAAATGATATTTTCCCTCTTTGTGTGGAAACTTCTTTCTACCTTAAGGCCATTACCCTTAAAAATCTACAGATTATAAACCTATTTTCACCTACATAGAGCTTTATTGCTGGAAAACTGTGAATGAGGAATAAAAAATTATGAAGTTAATCTTATTCATTATATTTATATAAATTACTTATACGAGGGTTGTCCGGTAAATCGTGGACAAAGAGTTTTTCTCGAATGATAATGGGCGCAAGAAGCTGAAATTTTCAGAATGTTTAATATTTATCATATGTAAGTGCATCATAAATTTTTTGATAAAATATACACAACCAGAAGTCTCTGATAAGACTGTAGCTCTACTAATCTGTATGTGTGACAAAGGAAAAGTAGCTCTTGGATTTGAAACTTTGCAACAGACAGCAATAAAGTATGTATCGTAGTGAAGTCTACTTGTGTGCCAAGTTATATTGAAATCAGACCATAATTGTAGGATGAGTAGCGTTTTAAAGGAATTTCACAGAAATTTCTATTTTTAGTAACCATGGCAACACCGTTCAACTAAATCGAAAACCGATGCCCTAGTTTATGTATCTTAGTGTAGTTAATTTGTGAGCCTAGTTATATTGAAATCAGATCATAACTGAAGAAGGAGTAGCGTTTTAAAGGAATTTCACAGAAATTTCTATTTTTAGTAACCATGACAATACCGTTCAGCGAAATCAAAAACCGATGCACTTGTTTATGTATCTTAGTGTAGTCTACTTGTGTGCCAAGTGATATTGAAATCAGACCAAAACTGTAGGATGAACAGCGTTTTAAAGGAATTTCTCAAAAATTTCTATTTCTAGTAACCATGGCAACACCGTTCATCAAAATCAAAAATCGATGCACTATTTTATGTATCTTAATGTAGTCAACCTGTGTGCCAAGTTATACTGAAATCAGATCATAATTGAAGAAGGAGTAGCGTTTTAAAGGAATTTCACAGAAATTTCTATTTTTAATAACCATGACAATACCGTGCATCGAAATCAAAAACCGATGCACTAGTTTATGTATCTTAATGTAATCTACTTGTGTGCCAAGTGATATTGAAATCAAACCAAAACTGTAAGAGGAGTAGCGTTTTAAAGGAATTTCACAGAAATTTCTGGTTTTTTATTACCATGGCAACACCGTTCATCGAAATCAAAAACCGATGCTCTAGTTTATGTATCTTAGTGTAGTCTACTTGTGTGCCAAGTTATACTGAAATAAGACCCAAACTGTAGGAGGAGTAGCGTTTTGAAAAATTGTTTACAGACAGACAGACAGACGGACATATGGACGGACGACGGACACCTTACCATCTCATAAGCTCTTCTGGTTTCTGACCAGTAGACCTAAAAATAAAGAGTTTATTTTTGCTTGAATGTGCCCAGGGTACTGTCCTACGGCGCACCGAAAAAAACAAAGGTTTTATTAAAGGATACAAGAGTAATGATTTAAATAGGTAAGATTGGGTTAAAAATTATCCTTATTCGATTCCACAATTAATTTTGTCTTCTTTTTTTTTTTGAAAAAAATTTCAAAGCATTTGGTTAATTTTTGAAAGTTTCCTGTGCATTCGAAATGGGGATGTGGTACACACAACACTCGACAAATGGTGACGATTGATGACGTTACGGCGCACCGGAGGGCAGTTCAATTTGAATTAGATGGTGTTGTAACACCTTAATAGACTTAATACAGAGGAAATAAATATATAAATAAATCAACAGATCTTTAAATAAATCAACAGATCTTTAGTATGGAATTGAAATGGGAGTTTTCTTAGTGAAGTCTTTCTTGATCGAGTCCCCAGGTAGTACAAAACATACGTACAAACTGCAATAATTGTAATTATAGCAAAAGACGCTGTCACTGTTGACCGTCAATATAAGATTTTCTATAAGTTGAATGAATGATGGAGGGAATATTGTCCGTAACTTACTAATAAATCATCAGAAGATTGCACGTTTTTGCCAGATTGGTTCCTCAACTGTTTATGGAGATTAAATTAGTTGCATCAATGAAATTTCTAAATTTAAGTGGGACTTATCCAACGATATTTTTATCGCAAAGATGAAACGTAACGCTAATTTAGACAATTTGACGTTATCATTCGTGCGCCTTAAGCCGACAGAGTAACTAATATATAAAATCTCATAAGTTGTTAAATTATGCATATCTATGTGAAATGTGCTATGTTTATTCAGAAAACATATACTAAATAGTAGTGAAAATTTCAGAACGCATTGATGATTATTTTTCCCGCTAGACAACTTGTCCACGATTTTACCGGACAACCCTCGAATAAGTTATTTTTTAATGATTTTCCGGGGGGGGGGGGGGGGAGAGAGAGAGAGGAGTGTGTATCGTCTTAAACTTCTTTATGCTATCAACTATTCTTTGATCTCTTTCTGAAGTATGTATATTTTTATGCATGGAATATTTTTTTTATTCCTTTGAGAGTCTGAAAAATGAAAAATAAAAGAAACAATTTTTTTCTAAATTGAGTACAATTTTCTTCAATTCTATGAATTTCCCAAAGTCACTAAGTAGCAAAAAGTATTTTCAGGAAATTCTAAAATTTCTAATTGGATAGTGTATTTCAACGAAGTGAATTTGTTAGTGTAATATATAAGGTTTGTGGATTTATAAAAATAACAGGCATTCTGAGTTTATTTAGAGTATTTTACGAGGGATATGTATTTTCTGATATTTACTCAACACAGCACCAACGAAAATTAAACCTCGTCCAAATTAGAATAAAATCCAATGTTTTCCAAGTAGATTGGATACGCTATTTTAAAATATCCATGATTCCGTCATCGTCATAAAATCATACCTTTCTGTAGTTAATAGATTTTTAAAAAAAAATTCTATGTTTAATTTTGACACTTTACGGATCCCAACCTACACCAGGGTTATGCTTTGAACAAACTCAGAGTGAAGCTTCTTATTGCTTTAATCTTTTTGGCAAAGTAGTTCTTGAGAAGATTTTTAAAAGATACATATGCAATTGAATTTTCGCTAATTCTTGTTTATCTCTAATTCAAAAAGATCCCTTTGAATGAAAAAAAAAAAAACTTGAATCCCCTTTACTTGTAGATGGTATGCGCCTAATTTGAATAAACCTAGTTTATTGAGTGGTGTAAGGAAGTCATGGGTTTTCTAAAGTTTTTGTTGTAACATTAGAGCGACATGAAACATCTTATGATAGACCGTCAGTGATAGAAATAACATTAAGCGTAGCAATGCAACGCTTAATGTAAAAAAAACAAAAACAAAATGTGTTTGTGAAACACTATGCGCCCGGTGGCAACAAAGTTCGAAAAAGCTAATTTTAGCACATAGGTCACAGTCAAGGTCGCAAGGTCATTGACCTTGGTGTCATTTGAAAGAACTTTATAAGTTATTAGTATGCTTATGAAATATGAATTCCATATCTCCTATGGTTCAAAAGTTATGGCAAAAAGTCAAAAAAGCTATTTTTAGCATATAGGTCACAGTCAACGTTACAAGGTCATTGACCTTGATGTCATTTGAAAGAACATTATTAGTGGAGTATGCATATCAAAAATGAAGTCTCTATCTCTATTGGTTCAAAAGTTATGGCGAAGGTTAAAGTTGACAACAGACAGACAAACAGATAAACAGACAAACAGACAGGACAAAAACAATATACGCCCTGGATCTATCGATCCGGGCGCATAAAAATATGTCATTTGAAGTTGACATTTCTATCATTAAGCAGGGTTTCTTGCTGTACATATATAGGACCGGTCTCCAAGTCCCGAAAATAGATTTGGAACCCGTTGCGGGGTATCTATTGCAATAAATGTATCTTGCACACAGTTTTATAAGCAATACACAAAATGTATTTATATGACTCAAACTTTATTTCGCTTTATGACCTCTGTAATCATACCAGTGCATTTAAAATATGACAGGCATCTTGAGCGATTATTTTAGAATATTTGTCGCTCTCTTTAGATCTGATAAAAGTTGCCTCAAGGCCTTTTGTTTTGATTTGAATACGTCTGGATAGGCGTTGTTAAAAGTTGCATCACGTGTTGGGGCTTTTCCACAAGAGTCGACACAAGCCAGGCAGCAGTTCCACCCTATTGTTTTGTCGCCAACATTGGAGGGATTCTTGCAGTACTTGTCACAACCACCTCCAGCTGATACTTTTGACTTGCAGTTCGAATCCATATTTGCATCTTCGTAATTTTTATAATTCCCCCATGGACAACCTTCAAAGGAAAAAAAAATATTGTTGGAGATTGACAACAACAACAAAATTGTCCAACTAAAAGCTTCATATGACTTTAAGTCCTGAAGTCATCCAGTATATAGTTTTCGGACATTTTCAGGATTTTTGGGAAAAGTAACTGCTAATGTGTTTGGGTATGCAAAAGAGAAAGAGAAAAAAAAAAATAATAAAATTTAGGTGAATTAAGGCAGAATGACTTTCAGGAATAAAATCAAACAAAACAAATAAGTTACAACACTTGTCAACTGATGAAGGGAAATTCATAATTTACCTATCTTATAAGGGAAAGTGGATGAATGCAGATCAAAGACATAAAATACATAATGTGAGTTAAATTATTACTGTCTCGTATATATGGTAAAGCAAAACAAACTTATGATGTGTGGCCTGTGTTTGGAAGATAAAAAAAAAAGGTTAGTTAAGGGAATGTAAATCGGAAGCAATAAGTTTTTAATTACATTAATAATAAAGATATATGTACGTGTAACGGTAAAATGGATATTATACATGTATAAAAGGTAAATGAAAGTAACAATAACGGTTAAAATTTGGTGTATGAGCGTGAACTCATAACGACATTAGAGCTTGTGATAAAGCTTGAAATGAATGCTAATTAAAGTTTAAATTGGGGAATGAAAACAAAAATATATTTAGAGTTATCGCTCTTTTTGTTAAGAAATCGAGAAAGGGGTTTTACTTTACATAACTTCGAATTATTTTCCTTTAATAAATTCGAAAAAAAATCTTATTTTTGTAACGGTTCAATCCTCCATTTTATGATGCTTGTATGATATGATAAATATTTCATTACTTAACAAGAATTGTGTCAAAATTGTGTTTCGAACATGTGACAACATTAAAGAAACCTTCGAGTATATAAAAAACTGACCCGGGGTCCTTGGATTTTACATTACTTGAGGATGTTTTAATGCACTCGTATATGTGTATTGTACTTTGATTTTAAAATGAGCATTTCTCAAGTTTCGTAGATTTTTCCTTTAATCGGGCATTTTTTTTAAAAAAAAATTCCATTCAATATTTTCATATACAATGGGTTTATTATAACATGTAAACTAGGGATGCAAATTGAAATTGTTTTGATGCGGAGCCAGGGATGCGATAATTTGAAGCAATTTGTTTATTCTCTTAATCATCGCATCTGCACAGCTGTTTCATTTTCTCATACTAAATTGTACCTTTTATGTTTAGATCGGGGTTTTTCCAACATTATTAGAATGATTATCGACTTTTTACGACGAACAAAACTATATACATTTTATCAATATTATATTCGCCTTCTTTCACCTAGTCTGTAAATTAGTTTTTGTTTCGCTTTATATTGTTTAATCACCATTACTGTATTTAGATTGAGTAAGTTTTCTTAACTTAACTCATATTTTCCCATGTTTTCATGTTTTCTTGATTGAAAAAGGTATGTTTAATCATTTGAACCTTTAAAACCCCTTTCAAAGATTAGATGTATCACCTTTCACGGTAGCCTAGTGGTAGAGCGTTCGCTTCGTGATCGAGAGGCCCGGGTTCGATTCTCGTTCGCGCCGCGTCAAACCTAAGACGTAAAAACAAGTAGTGACCGTTCCTTCGCAAAGCGCTTGGCACCAGAAGTGAAAATCACTGGTCTTTCGGATATGACCGTAAAAAACGTAGGTCCCGTGTCACGGTAGGCGCTGGCACGATAAAGAACCCTCCCTGCTCAATGGCGCTGAGTGCCGAGTATAGGTCTAAATTTGAAGCCCTTCACCGGCATACGGTGACTTCTCCATATGAGTGAAAAATTCTCGAGAGGGACGTTAAACAATATACAATCAATCAATCAATCAATCAATCAAAGATTATCAATGATACGTATGATTTAAAACTGGTTTAGTGGTTCTAGAGAGGAGAGTGAATATGGAAATAAGCCGACAACAGACGGACCATGAACAATTCAAATGTTCCTCAGAAAAAAAATCACATATTTACCCAGCAGACGTCAAGACATCTCCACTTCTTTGTTCAAAACTATCCAATTACTTACCGTTCTGGACGTATTTATTCTCCAGAATCAACGATTCTGAACACGTCTTCTTGCATTGATTATAGATGCCATGTTGGTAACAATACATTTTGTACAACCCTTTCGCTTTCAGTCTCTGACAGAGGTGACTGTTTGTATCTACAAATAATGACACATTGTTTAAACTTCATTGAACAGCATATTGTTTGTCTGAAAAGAAAATCATTTTGATATTAGTATAATAAATTACATAACATGTTTAATGTTCTTTGGTGTTGGACGTTCTTTGGACAGATAATGTCCGAGGACTCGCTTTAATGCTTTGACGGTGTTTTTGTGAAGTTACCTTAGGATCAGTCTTTGTAGTGATACAAATAGAAAAAAAACTGAACAAAAAGACTCTCTTCAAAGAATTCAGGCCTATAGAAGATGTGGGACCTTCCAAATCTGTTCATCTAAAAGAATGCAAAAAGATTACAAGTAGAGCTTTTTAAAAAAGCTTACCGTCTTTAGCAACAATCTTAAACAGTAAACTGATCTACATCTATCAGGCCGTATAATTCTTTTGAATTTCTTGATTTTGTATTTCTACATTAGCTTTTTACTGGCATTAGCCCTACCACGGTTGTCGCTCGGTCATCTCCGTAAACTGGCCGAGAGCTTTCGGGAAACCTCGGCTGATTCCATTCCCTTCTTCAAACAAGAAAGGGGAAAAGAATAATAACAAATTGTAAAGCCTGCAACCAATTAAAATCAAATTTTATTTATAATGAAATTAAAGAGATTTTTTTATTTATTGCTATACAAAAAATCATGTTATTAGGAATTAATTACTGCTGATTTTGTTGTTCGTTTTGTCATTTTTTTAAGATTGAAAATCTTGCAAAATTGTTCAGTCGTACGAAAATTAGATCATCAGAAAGTTATCTCCCTTGCCTTGAACAGCATTTCAACCAATGAAATAATTGAAAATTTTCTCATCATGCATTTTCTACCAATCACAAAAGAGAGGAAGTGCATAGTCCGAAGACTGTAAAAAACTTCAACTATACAATACCGTCTTCCAAGGAAGACGGTAATAAGAATAAGGGAATGCAAATTGCCCCCAACTATACGCCTGAAAGAACATATATTATATTGACGAATATGTGGCTCCTTCCAAACCTACGAAAGACTACATCACAAAGGAATGTATACGCCCAATCACAAACTAACATTGGAAAAAAAAACATACTGAAAATTGATGTGCAAAATCAAAGTTGAACCGCAAACTGACTCTAAGAAAACAGAATAACCGCTTCTAAGTCTCAATGAAAAATTTGAAGATTAGATTGACGTGGGGTTTAGACCGAGCTTATTAGACGGAAGAGGATTGTAGATCTCTTGTTAGTATAAAACAAAATCACCAAAGTGTTAGTGAAACCTAACCAAAATAAAAACCTACATGACATATACTGTCGCCTGTCAAAACCAAAGATAGAAAATCATTTTTTTTTCATAGAGAAATACACACCAACGCCAAACTATAAGAGGAAACTGTAAAATAGAAGCTATAATTAATCATTAAGCTTGAAATATGTAACTATGTTGAAGTACTTACGAAAAAAAACTTGGTATTCGTGTCTTGAATTGCAAAACCTAGAATTTACCAATCCCGAACCAAAGAGAAACCATGTCATCAACGAGAGGTTAGAGCTGTGTAACAACATTATCAAAAGGGAAAGGTTTAATCCAAGACTGACATTAGATCATGGACAGCAATGCTGCCCACCAAACTGCGTGTATTTGATGTTATTGATAATGATATGTTTTATGCATTCATATGTATTTTTCGATTTCTGTATTTCGAATTTAGCTATTGTAAAATATGTTATGTGTATCTCAGGTTTCGGAGTTATCCGATGTTTTGTAATGCATTGTCTCAGGTCTTGGGGATATTGCGGTGTTTAGACAATAGTTAACATACTGAGGTATCACGTGATCACTATCATAATGTAGGTGCTGCACGCCATAATTTGTATGGAAAACATACCCACCGCTACCCCGTACATGCGTCCCTTTGGCAGTAGTTTTACATGTACATTTTTGGATTAAAATGTGAATTTCATTTTATTTGGGGGCCTATTGTTTGTTGCCATCTTATTTTTCAGCTTACGTGAAACAAGATCAAAAGTCCATAAAACAATAAAAAACAGGAGTAGAGCAAACATGGACCATGGTTCATGGATCTTATAGGTCACCTAAGCATCATGCAACACCTTCCGACTATTGAATTTGGTTCCTATTTTAAACCAGAGGCTTTATTCGATGTAAATAATCAATGCATTTTCACTCTAAAATTTGTACAGCCCCAGCCTAACACCGGAATTCCTGACCCTCGGGCCAGAAATCTATTATTTTAGAAGACGCACCCTCATTAGTCCTACCAACGTATGTTGTTTGTTTGTTATAAACTCAGGAGTAATTAAGATTTTAAAGAATTAATGCATTTTCACTATATTATCAATATGGCACCGCCCTTGCGCAGGAATCCCTGACCCTGGTGCTGTAAAATTTTACACTTTTCGAGGAGGCAACTTTCCTTATTATAACTATATGTATGATGATGAGGTTGTTTAATTCCTAGAAAGATTTTCAAAGAAGTAATGCATTTCACTATATTATCAATAGAGCCTGACCTACTACGCAACTGCTAGCCTGGGGCCGGGAAATTCACAATATTTGAAGAATAACCCTTCCTTATCATAATTATGTTTGTAGTCAGTGTGTTAAATACCTAGGATAGAGGGTTTTCAAAGAATTCAAAGCATTTTCATTAAATAATCATTAGAGCCCCGCCTCAACACCAGAAAACCTAACCCTGGGTTGTTGAATTAACAATTTTTGAAGAGGCATGTAGTTAGTTTGTTTAATATCAGGAAAAGAGAAGATTTTCAAAGAATTAATGCATTTACACTATACAATCAATAGAGTCCCACCCTTACACCAGAACTCTTGAACCAGGGGCTGCAAAATTCACAATTAAGGAAGAGACACCCAACCTCATCATAACTGTGTTTGTAGTTAGTTTGTTTAAAAGCAAGGTACTTTTTCCCGTCATAATTATTAATGCAGTTAGTTTGTTAAATACCAGGAATAAAGAAGAACATTTTCAAAGAATTAATGCATTTTCACCATATAGTCTTTATAGCCACGCCCTAGCACTAGAACCCTTGACCCATACATTGCTTATAACAAACATGACAACAGTTTGACTGCTTGATGTCCACGGTAAAGAAGATTTTAAGGAATTACCCCAATTTTAGTGGTTTTTAGCCCCGCCCCTAAGGCCCCAGGGGGCAGGGACGATAAAATCCACAATATTTGCTCCCCTTCACACAAAGACGCTTTATGCCAAAATTGGGTGAAATTAGTTTAGCGGGTGCAGAGAAGTTGAAAATGTTCAAATGTTAACACACAAAAACAAAATAGCAAAAGGTCACCTAAAAAGGAAGTTGCCCATATCTAAAATCTGCCTACATAATACTATGGTTTGATATTTTTAATTTCATAATAGTTTAATGAAGTCTTCAATAAAACAAAACATGAGAACAGGAATGCTGCATTCAGCTTCAAAATGGTTGCTTAATATAATTTAAAAAATATAAATTATGTTAGCATTTGACTTGCATGCACCTAAGGGGTATTCACCAAACACAAAACATTAAGCTAGTGATAGCAAAAGGTTGTAGCAAATATTAGTTTCCCGAACGATCATTGAAATTTAACTTTTTGATGCCCATGTTTTAAAATAATTTATGAAAAATATTTAAAATATTTTTTTAAACTCACCAGAAACTGCTGCCGATGCATAAGTGATAATAAACATATAAACAGTCAGTAGAATCAAATGAGGCTTCATGATACAGTAGGATTCGGAAATATATACACGCAGTCGAAGTGTTCTTTGTGCTGGTGAAGAAAAAACTAAGTAGGGAAGTTCACCTGTAGGACGATTTAAATAAGAGTATAGCATCTATTGATTAATATACTTGTATGTTAACAGTCCAGTAAACGCACTGAAAAACGTAGTCATAGGGTGGAACAAGAACATGTTCCTAATGCTTCAAATATTTTTGATTGAATTCCTTTTTCTTCTTTTGGAAGGCATTTTTTTCAATGTTGCGTCTTGAATCTTTGTGTTTATGAAAAGTTCACCAGGTCATAGACCTAGAAAATATATATTAGAAAACATAGAAGTATGAAACTGCATTTATTTCATTGAATTACAAGTGTAATGAATCTTTCTCTTCTCAAATTGAATCCATCGTAAGCAGAGTTCAAATCTCTAAACGTTGAAACAAAGTGTTGATGCGATAGTCATGTTTCAAATTTCAAATAAAATAAGAAGCCCATGGGCCACATCGCTAATCTGAGCACTGTGGATAGAGAAAAAAGCAAAAATCAATCCAGCATTGTAAATCTTTAATACATACATAGTCCAAACCTACCCCCAAAAAGGCAGCAGGGGTTATGATTTGAATCACCTTGAATCTATACTAACAAAGAATGCTAACAAACTTGAATCTACCCTACCTGAGGATGCCTCCATATAAATATGACCAATCATTTCTTTGTTGTTCTTGAGAAGATTTAAAGATTTTCCCTATATATTCTATATAAAAGTTTGAACGTCCGCTGTGACCCCACCCTACCTCCGGGGAAATGATTTGAATAAACTTGAATCCAGACTACCTTGGGATGCTTACATATGAATATGACCAATCATAGCTTTATTGTTCTGGTGAAGAAGACTTTTTAAGATTTTTCCTATACATTCCTAGGTGAAACTTTGAGTGTCCATTGTGGCCCCACCCTACCCTCGGGGGTCATGATTTGAACAAACTTGAATCTACACTTCCTGGAGATGCTTCAACGTTAGTTTCGTCTTTTCTGACCCAGTGGTTCTTGAGATTTTTAAAACATGTCAATTTTTTTCTTATTTCTTAATTATCTCCCCTTGAAAAAGGGCATGGCCCTTCATTTGAACAAACTTGAATTTCCTTTACCCAGACTATACTTTGTGTTAAGTTTGGTTGAAATTGGCCTTCAGCACTTTAGCTGAAGTGAGCTAAAAAAATCATCAATATATTTTTCTTTATTTCACTGCTTTCACCCATAACCTGGATAAATTTGAATAAAAGTTCCAAGGTTGAAGGGGGGTTGATGATTTCGTCGTGCACTACTTAACTGAGAGCAGAAATACATTCCCTTTTCTAAACATTCTTCTTACATGACGTTTTATGTGTAATTAAACAGTTAAAGTAAATGTCCAAGTAGCAATATTGAATTATTTCTCTAAAAAAGTCACATTTTCTGTGTGCCTCTTGTCATGATCAGGAAAAACGGGAAAAATCTGTAACAATTCAATTTTTTTTAAAATAATTAATTGACATTCTTGAGATTCTTTCTCTCTTAACATTTATCATTTGCCGTAGATTGTTCATTGAATATAAATACGTAAAACATTATGATATATCATTCATATGTGAACTTTATATATATTCAATATCGATTTCCTTCAAAAAGAAAACTGATATAAATAATCAATAGAAAATTTGTTTTAAAAATGTTCTTTTTTCTTACTTCAATAGTTTTGATTATATATCTAATTTCATCATCTGAACAGGAATTTTTTGAATTGCGTTATATCAGATCAAATATCTGAAATACAATGTTGCTACAGGCGTTGACAAATCTTCAATAAAGTCATTTTGACTTTTCTTTTGTTAAGTATAGTCAAAATACCATCATCATACTTGTTCAAAAGACGAAGACTGGCGACACATTGTTACTGACTAAGAGACCATGTATTGATAAAATATGCACTGAGAAACATAATTGGCAACACATGTTTAATAGATATTTTTAAAATATTGTGATATGATCAAATGATTGTATAGGTGTTCCTTGCATGTTATCATTTAGAAATACAGAAGAGTGAGTCAAAATGCATCATTAAAACTCAAAAATCATTATATTTGTAACATAAGTATAAGATGAAAAAACATATCAGAAGTAGAATTTCACTTTTTAAGCTCATGGAAGAAAGCTAGATGATTAAAAACTAGTAATTCACTATCAAAACACTAAAGTTAATTAATTGTATATATAACTTTTGTGTGATTTGTAGGTTGTTAATCATCCCTCTCAAGAAGCTTTCACACGGGAGGGGACACCAAATGCATGCGTAGGCCTGCAAATGAAAACCGATATTCGGCACTCAGGGATAACTATAAAAACTAAAGATAACTATATTGAACTATGCTGTCTATATTATCATTTATTGTGAATGTTCTGATTCAATGAATACTTGGTAATTATAATTAATTAAGGTGATGATGCTGAAACTTTGTTTCACTATTATGATAACTTGGAAAACTAACTGGTACAATATAGGGATAATTATATGTTCCAAATTGTCTACTTCGTCACTATGAAGACAGGCATTCTGTGAAATATAAAGAATATTCAAGCTCAAAAGTCCATCAAAAGTCCATTAAACAATACAAAATTAGAGCAGAGCAAACACGGATCACGACCGCCGTGTGCTCCCTGTCATGATCGGGGATATAAAGAAAAAGTCCATCGACAGTTCGTATATAATGGCCTAACAATTACGATGAAAAATGTCAGTCAGCATTTAACTTAATAGCAAATTGTATTTGCTGACAACGTGACCACAGGACTTACGAAAGATGACTTTAAATGAGACTGCTTATTTTCTCGTGTCAGCAACTTGTTTTTCAAAAATTTACCTCGTTTTTGAAATTGTTCATACGTAGAGTATGCTCTTGCGTATTGTATGAAAGGTGTAAACCCCATATGCTGGTGATGAAGTATTTGTAAGGAAAGTTGACGATTGAAAAGTTTAAGTCATCAAGTTTATCATAAAGCTTGGTTGTTAGATTACCATTAACGTCTTTTTTAAGTAAACAATCGAAGTGTCAGACTCTGTAACAGTCTTTATTTCAAAGTCACTGGGTTATATCGTTTCGACATAAGAATGGAAATAACGATTGTACATTATTAATAAGTTATTGATATATATGTCTAAGTGTCGAGTTGAGGGTCACAGCAAGTGTTTTCTTCTTTTCAGGTGTAACATTTTGGACAAATTCTGCTTCATATGAGTACAAAAATAGGTCTGCTAATAACGTAAACATCGCATTGGGAATATTATTACCGGTAAATTTAATTTGATTCATATCAAAAATTTTAAAAATACTATATAATAATTTCGGAAAAAAATCGTTGAAGCGGCATAAAATGCAAACCTGATCTATTACTTATCAAAATAAATTCACATATCAAACACCAGATCATTCTCAACAAAAGTTTAGAAAAAAAATGCTTAAAATCCGTAGAATAAAAAAGACTGCAATTTCGTCAAAAATGATTATAGGAGAACGAAATGCAAATTTTATATACAGTTCATCCATATCCACTCACCAGAAATGAAATCAATATCTGCAAGCATTTAGAACAAAGTGAAAAACTAAGTTGGACAGACTTACAGGCAGACTGGAGGGAAAATGATTGCTAACGTAATACTCTGAGAATGACTTTTTAATCATTTGCAAGAGAAAATACTGTACATATACATGTTTTGTAAAATAATATATATATCGAGACAATTCTATATTCACGCTTTGTAAATTCATAATATAATGTGATCTTAACAGAGTTCAAAAATGAATATTACATAAACATATGATTTTCTAAAAATGTCAATAATGTTCATATGGATTGATTCAGTTTATTCAAGCGATATAGATATAGAGAACATTAGAATTTTCTTTTAACCAGTGATTGAATCCTCTGGTCTTATCCAACATCTTGTACCATCATTTCATCGTATCAGTGATGTATCTTGGGATAAAATAAAGAGATACGGAATTGTGTATGAAATCAAACACAGTTTAATTTTTCTGTCATTGTTTTAATAAATATTATAATCAGTGATGTAAAAATTCCAAAATGAACAATTTGAAAAAAATATACATTCATGATGTTTAATCAAAATTTTTGAGAAAAAAAAACCCGTGTATTTCATTCCCTGATGTACAACCGCATAGATCCTAAAACAGTTTCAAGTACAAGGATTTCGACGAATTAAGCAAAACAAGGGTGATGTGTTAAAAAATAAATGCTGCAGCACTTTTAGCAAAAATCACTTTCAAAATGTAGATATGTATAATATGTCCTGCAAAAAACTTCAAAATTTCAAAAATAAAAACGAATCTTCTGAAAGAATTAGGATCAAAGCTTTTACTATTGAGAATAATGTAGGTTACTGAGGGTGCAATGAATATTATTTTTATTTCATATTTGATATCAAATTATTAACTGCTAGGTACTGACAACCTTTATTACAAGGTATCATTTCATTATTCATCTCTGCATTTAAAAATATTTTCTAACAATAAACACGCTAACAGAACCTATAATTACATAAAATAATGAAATGCATTTCCACTTTACTCTATATGATCTCCAAAAGGATGATTTACCCATAACAATCGACCCATATGTGTTATAATTTGTATACGAGGGCTGTTCAATAAATAATGTCCTCGGTGCTCAGAAAGAAGCAAAAGACGCTTTTCAATGTTTTAGTCTTCATGATTTTACTAATTATTCTCTTTTAAGTAAAATACATGTCCGTAAAATTTTTTATCCAATTTCTGATTGTTGTTAGAACTCATTTTTGGGTATGGCCCTTAGTATACTGGAAAATGGCAGATCCAATGATTTCCCGGACTTGTTTCTTCCCTCTGATAGGTGTTTTTTTCAAGTTTGAAAATAGAAACAAGTCAAAAGGTCAAAAAATTGGCGAATATTGTTCATGTGAAAAAACATTAACTTTTTGTTTATCCCCAAAACCCCTTTACTCTTCAGGGCATGCGGGTTTGGACGCTGTCTCTAAGAAATTCAATG